CGGGAGTTGTTCAGAAGATAGGAATACAGCGATAGGGTCCATCCAACTTGGACCTGATTCTATGACATTAATTTGAATTGACTCTGAGGGGGCAATGCTAGGCTTAGGGATGAATCCTACTTCAATTGTCCATTTGATTTCTAAGTTGATGGCGAAGGCTAGGCAGGCTAGGGCATCTGCATGCGTGTTCTGATCCCAGGTTATTTGATTTAGTTCATGATGGTCGAATTTTGCCAACAAAGAATTTGTCGTTTTCATGTAAGCTGTCATACGGTCATTTTTTGGCTGCGTATTCCCCTTTCAATTGGTTGATGACTAGCTTTGAATCGCAGAAGATAAGCAAACGCCGAGCACCAAGGAGATGTGCATTTCGTAAGCCGGTTAACAATGCTTCGTATTCAGCTTCATTGTTTAATGCATTGAAGCCCAGTTTAACAGCTTGCTTGATTATTGCCCCCGTTGGGAGCCATGATCACTACGCTCGCCCCACTGCCACGTTGGTTGGACGATCCATCACAATACAACTACCAAATGTCCCCAACATAAATTCTCTAGTTCGGCTTAGGTTAAATCTGATCAGACTTAAAGTCGGCGAGGCTTTTAGTGAATTTGGCCACAAAGTTGGCGAGCACTTGCCCCTTGATTAAGGTCCTATGCTTGAATTGAATATCGTACTGGCCGAGTTCGAGAGCCCACTTTGAAACGCGCCCTGATACTTCTGCATTACGAAGTATTAACTAGAGGGGGTAGTCCGTTAGTACCCCAATGGTATGCCCATGAAAGTAATGCATCAGTTTTCATGCTGCCATGATGAGAGCGAGGACGAGTTTTTTCAACGGAAGGTAACGTGTTTTGGCGTTAACCATTGCTTTGCTCACATAATAAACTGGCCGCTGCTCCCCAAGTTCTTCGTTTAACAGTACCACACTGATGGCCCGGTTGGAAACTACCAAATATGAAATGAGCGAATCACCTACCGAAGGTGTTATCAAGAGTGGAACTGATCAGAGGTAAGTCTTCAAACCGTTCAAAGCGGCTTCGCACTTAGAGGTCCATTCGAAAGCTTTACCCTACCGTAGGGTGTGAAAGAATTGTCGGCAGTGATCTATGGAACGACTGATGAACCTGTTGAGTGCGGCGGCCATCTCCATTAACTTTTGAACCTCCTTGACCGATCGAGGAGAGCCGAGTTCTAGAATTTCCATGATTTGCCTTTGGTTGGCTTCGATTCCACGGTGGTTAACAATGTAGGCAAGGAATTTGCCAGATCCGATTCCAAATGCACATTTGGAAGCGTTTAGCTTCATTTTGTACCTGCGTAGAATGGCGAACGTCTCTTCCAGTTCGGCTAGATGAGTTTGCTCTTCTTTGGACTTGACCACCATATCGTCAATGTACACTTCCATAGTACGGCCGGGTTGCTTCTTGAACATGGCAGTGACTAGTCTTTGGTAAGTTGCCCCTGCATTCTTCAGCCCAAAAGGCATAACCTTATAGCAACAAGTTCCTCTTGGGGTGAGGAATGCAGCTTTGTCTTGGTCTTCCAGATGCATGGCAATTTGATAGTAGCTTCTGTTGGCATCCAAGAAGCTCATACGTTGATGATATGTCGTGGTATCTACAAGTTGGTGTATTCTGGAGAGGGGAAAACAATCATTGGGACAAGCTTTGTTTAAGTCCGTGAAATCCACACAAATACACCAAGTCCCATTTTTCTTGTTTACAACCACAGTATTCGACAGCCATGTAAGCTAGGTCATTTCCCGGATTGCCCCGGCGTAAAGCAACTGGTCAACTTCTTCAACAACGGCAGCAATGTGTTTTGCGGCTGACCGCCGACTTTTCTGAATAATCGACTTACATTTGGGGTCAACGTTTAAACGGTGTTGAGAAACAGATGGATCCACCCCCGGCATCTCATATGGTGTCCACGCAAATACATCGAGGTTGCCGAGTAAGAAGGAAATTAACTGTTGCCTGTCAACTTTATTCAGGGAAGCGTCGACCATAAAAAACCTGTCAGGATTCCCGTCAATTTCAACTCGATCCAGGGCTTCGGTTGCCTTTTCGTTTGGAAGCCGCCCAACATCGTCGAGGCTCTCTTGATCCAACACCTCAATAGAATTCACTTCCAGCTCTCGTGGTGTCTTTGCGGCAAGAAAATAACATGCTTACGCCGATTTTTGGGAACCACGGATTTGTTCAATGCCGCGTTCAGTCGAGAAGCGAAGTAGTTGATGATTGGTGCTTGGCACGGCCTGCATGGTATGCAGCCTAGTTCGTTCCATGATGAGATTATACGGTGAAGGAAGCTTGAAAACCAAAAATTCCACATCCATTGATCGAGAGCCCGCTCGAACTGGTAGCGTGATTTTGCCCAACGGATATTCCGAATTGGCATTGAAGCCGAATAACGGATAATGAGCTGGAGACAGGTCCAACTCAGCAAACCCGAGTTTGATGAAGGTCTTGTAGTACATAACTTCCGAAGTACTGCCCTGGTATACTCCAACAGGGTAACGATCTTAGATGGGGCCGTCTTGTTAGCCTTGTACTCGGCTTTAACCCGCAGGACGTCATCCTCCACGTTGCAGTATTTATCAACTTTCTTCATTAGCGACTAGACTGTTTTGGGGGGCCTTCTGGTCAAGGAGCTGTAGAGGGCACTATTAGGGTGCAACCCCATTTTGAAGGCGGTGATGGCCATGGAGTCATTCCAGGCATCATCTACGAGATTAAAGCATTCCCAATAGCACGTCGAATAAGTACGTAGGGTTTCCCCTGGTTGAATTTGCATTGCCCAGAGAGAATCGGCTTACTTCAGCTGGACCTCATTGGTGATGAACCTTGCCCTGAAGGATTTTTGGAGTTGATGAAAGCTTTAATTGATGCCGGTTCCAATTTATAATACCATATGACGGCCAATGGTCCCAAACTGCTGGGAAATATTCGACACATGAGGGCTTTGTCGTCTGCATGTAGTGTCATGGCTTGCTTACAATAGTGGATGTGATCGGGGGGGTCTGATTTTCCATCATATAGGGTGAATGATGGAGCTTTGAACTTTTTGGGTAGTACCGCCCTTGCGATCCGTCATATAAAAGGGTCATGTTGATCCTCTTCGTCTGAAGCATTTCTTCTTCGTTTATTTCTTGCATGCGGACTCCCTTTGGAAGAACTGGAGACTTCGACTCGTCTCTTCTTTCTGGATTCTAGGGATGGCGAGTTAGAATCACTGCTACTATCTTGTCTCCGAATTCGAGGTCGTCGACCATCCTTTTTCAGAGGTCGTCCCGGATCTTGGCGCATGGCCTGTTGGGATTTGCCACCTACAAGACCAAATCCTGTCGAAGGCATTCGTTCTCAGCCATCATGTTTTCCAACCTCTGTTCGTTTTGCTTCACCTGATCCATAATTGCTTGCATTGTCTCATGTGCTAATGTCGAGGGTGAGGTCGGGGTAGCTGAGTCAAAGTTCAAGGCTCTTCGTGCGGTAATGTTTTCTGGTCCAAGTATGTTGCTTGGAGTAGTATCAGCTCATGGTGTAAGGTCGTCAATGACTACCGGAGAATCTTCCATCACGTCTGCCATGGATGTGGTGGAGTATTCCCATAGATGGCGCCAATTATGAAGAAGTGGTTTGGAAAAACTCTTTGGATCCGATGGGATGCTCGAGATCCTCAGCTAGTCACTTGAAAAGGAATGAACACTCCGGTCGGGGGTACCGGAATTAACACTCCGACGAATAAGTTAGTGTATACTCTCTTGGTTGCTTGTATCTTAAGTTAAACTTACTTGTTCTCACATACCTACTTTTAGCTGATGCTCTTTTTATTTATAATCGTCCTTGATGTTGATAGTTGGGCCCACCTTTCGTCCAATGAATAATCCTCATTCGGCTAAATGTTCGTACTCGGCCAGGTCTACAGCTGATTCTTCGGCCGATCTGGTTATTCGACCTCCGTCCCTAAGGATAGAGTCGTTTAATACATAACTTGGTTTCTTTCCTCAAGATATTCGACCTCCGTACGTAATAGATATATTCGGTCTCTACATAGGAATTTCACATTTATTAGCTATCTGAGGAAAATATAAGAATATCATCAGGTAATGTAACCAATGCATCTCCGACAGACACCATATCACATTTTGATAGAATTTCCACAAAATTTCCAAAAGTCATTTTTGTGATCATACACTACTAAAATTTCAGTTTTTTGCGACGGTAAAATACCGTTGCTAATACTCCTAATGCCGTCGCAAAAAACTTTTTGCGACGGCAAATGACTTTTTCCGATGGCAAGAGGGGGGTCGCAATTGGGGGCGTTGCAAAAGAGTTTTTGCGACTAATGTTTTGCGACAGCATTTTAGCCTTTTGCGACGACACTTTATAGTCGCTAATAACGTTTGAAATTTCTTGACTTTTTGCGACGGCACTATTTTACCGTCGCTAAAAATGTTATTTGAGACGGCAAAAAATGTCGTCGCTAATAATCTTTTTTTTTTTGCAACGGCAAGAACACTGTTTTTGCGACGGTGTGGTGCCGTCGCAAAAAGTATTAAAAATATGAAAATTTCTATTTTTTGCCACAATTTAGTGCTGTCGCAAAAAGTAAAACCTGTAACAAAATTAATAAAAATATTAAAATTTTCTGTTTTTTGCGACGGTATAGTGTCGTCGCAAAAAAGAAAAAAAAAACATCCTGAGATAAAAGTATTAGAAATATTAAAATTTTTCCATAATAATATAAAAATTTCTGTATAAAAATAACAATTTCTTCATAATAAAATATTTTTCCATTCATATAATTACACATCAACAAAATTATCCCACTGCATAATGTTCCATAATACATATATAATGTTTAAATACATGATTTTGTTCATAATTCAAAATAACATAAACCAAAATTAAATGTTTTTCTCATCATTCTTCGTAGATAACAAAAACAAAAATTAGCCACATTCTCCACAGGCATGCATTCCACAAGAAGCACACTCCTACATAGGAAATATCTGAAAAATAAAAATAAAAATAATTAATGACAATATAATTGTGTGTTAATGCTAATTACAAAAAAACATAAAAAATTAACTACTATAGCATCAAATACAACATTTTTTTTGTTAGTCATCGAATCCCACATGGATAATTAAGCATCTCAATCAAATACAAAAATAAAAATGTTGAGCTTTATGGAGTTTCCTTTGTTTTAATTAGAGTCATGTGAATATAAAAATTTGGAATTCGTGCATGTAAATTATGGTTGCTTGTGTTAAAGAACCTCAAGGTTAATATATGACTGAAATTACTGTGTAAAAAAATTATGACACTTGCTACACTACCAAACAGATACAGGCATTAAAAAAAATTCAAGATCATAATAAACAAAATAATAATTTGTAAATAAAATTTTCAATCAATAGACATTTACAAGACCAAAAGTATCAAAAAAAGATTTTATAAAATATTTTACAAACAAAAAAACAAAAACAAAAAAATAAAAACAAAAAAATAAAAACAAAAAAAAACCAAAATATAATAAAAAATATGACAAAGCACTTTTTCCACATTGATCACCGTTACATTGAGCCGTGATTAACATCAATTATATCCATAACCGAAGATCACTTTGATTGCAATCAAAACCACCATAATGAATCGTAATGCACATCACTTTGAAACATAATTAAACATCATAATAGGATGTAACTATTTATTATTTATAACTAACATTAATTTACACTAAAATTTAAATATGGTATATATAATGTGTATTATAACATGACTTTAGCTAAAGGCTTCAAATAAATTGGAACTTAGTGTGGGAAAATGTTAGGACTTGGGGGGGACATTTACAAACAAATATAGTATATAAATTAGTATTTTTGAAATAGATGCAAGGGCCATGGGAAAAATCCTTATACCTTTACAAGTCAAGAAGTGCTAATTAATAAGGACTACCCCATACCTAACCTTTTATGAGTTAAATCGCTAAAGACAGAAAATTTAAGATATCACCGATTTTATTTTTTTAATGTCAAGAGATACTAAAGTTCAAAACATCAAAATCTACCTCAATCTATACAATGATTGATGCAAAATCAAACATTATCTAGTACTCACAAGTGTAGTGATATTAGAGACTTCACCATTCGTATATAGGTCTTCCATTAGCGCGTCCAGCCCTGAAAAAATGTAGCAATTCTTGAAATATAATATGAAAAACAAAAGAGAAAATTAAATCCATGCCAATGCATCTTTTAAAAAAATAAAAAATTAAAACACACCCACTCAAGATTTGACCAATCTAAATTTTATAAAAGACCTTCAAAAACATGATAAGAAGTTAAAGAATGAAGCACATTCCCACATCCTGTAAAATTAAAGACTCCATGGTGTCTAAATTCCCCATAAACAATAGGCCATTAATATGTCTGTATAACAAATTAAAGTACAATGGCGGCGCCACGCTGCTTGTATAAAACAAGCTGCCCAAGTCCTCCATTGATGTGAATAAAACCTAAAAGTATGTCGGAGCTGCTTGCTGTGTAATCGCCTGAATTGAGAGGCAACAAACTTCAAATCATCCGCCGTTAGGGAAAATGCTTCAACTTCTTTGAGGGCTTGAACAGTTCTTGTTGAGATTGGGAGGTTAGACGAGGAATGGGGATCAAGAGCCCAGGTTAGAAGTTCTTCTCCACAAAAGTCACCGGCTTTGAGATAATCTGAATTAAAGAAGCCGGTCCTTCCACCATTTGTGGTCACAGTCAATAACTTTCCCCTCATTATGAACAGCATCTCATCGACTGGGTCCCCCTCTCGAACAATGAAGCTTTCTTCTGTGTAGAGCACCGGTCTTAGACAATCACACATTGCATCCAACAGTTGTTCGTCCATTTTCTCAAACATTGGCACCTTTTATAAACATTCCAAAAGAATGAATTAGATTTAATTCATGAGCTAATAATCGTGGAAATCTATCTAAAATTGCAGAAAGAATAACCAAAAAAGACCATTCAATGACGGTATTGTGTGTTACTCTCTCTTGATATATATCTCTAGTTAAAGAGTAAGTTATGCTTCAAGATTAAAAAATGAAAATTGCCTTATCTAAGTAAATTGTGTGATGACCTATGCTCATAAACTCCAAATAGGTTTTGCAGCATCCGGGTACTTGACCCAAGACTGTAAACCTTCCAAACAGTAAGAAAACAAGACATAATAGATCCTATCCACAAAAAATAGGCATTCAATTGCAATTGCACCTAATTCTTGGCTATTCTAAACTCTAATTAATGGCTGAAATGGGATAATCAATTAATAAGACAATTTAACAGTGCAAAATAGAAAGCATAAGCCCACAAAAGGTGTTGAAATCACCAATGAGAGTAAAAAAGAAAATTCAAAAAACGAAAGGCAGGAAAATAATAACCAGGAATTAATTTAGCTAAACTGCAACCTGAATCAAAACAAAAAGGCAGGAAAATAATAACCAGGAATTAATTTAGCTAAATTGCAACCTGAACTCCATTCAGACAACAAACCTGTAGCAGCCAAGGCTGAAAGCTACGGAAAGAAGATATACATTATATAATCAACTATACCATTCTCACTCCTTGGAAGGATACATATAAAAAACAGCAGGAGAGAGAAAAATGATAATTGAAGAGGCAAAAAAAAACTCACTCTCATGAGCAGAGACAAACAGAGATGGCGCTTTATGTCCCTCCTCAGGTCCTTCGGAAGATTACAAATCAGATTCTGTTCATCAGATGTTGAGGTGGCGGAAGAGGAGGCCGACGCTGCTACTGCTCCGACGCTGCTCCTCCTCCTCTGACGCTGCTCCGACGTTCCTCCTCCGCCGCTCGCCGTCGATCGAGAGAGAGAGAGGAGAGGGGGGGGTAAGAAGAGATTGGGGATTTTTGGGTTTCAGATTGGGATTTTTTTGTTTTGGGGAGGAGGAGGGGAAGCGGGAATGGGAAAAAAAAAGGGGCGGGAATGCGGGAATGGGAAAAAAAAAGGGGGGCGGGAATAAAAAATAAAAAAATAATTTTTTTTTGTCACAAATGAAATTTAAATAACAAAATAATGCCATTTAACTCTTTTTTCTTTTTCTTTTTTTGCGACGAGGATTGTCGTCGTCAAAAAAAATTGTTTTTTGTTAAAATATATATTTTTTTGTAGTTAAAGAATTTTTTTTAAAAAAAATTTCTTTTTTTTTAGTTACTAAGATTGAAAATTTATTTGTTTCATTTTTATTTTAATGAAAAAAAATATTATTATTTTTTATTTGGTAGAAGTAGGGGTAATATTTTAATGAAAAATATTTTCCACTAAAATAAAAATTAATTTTCTGCGGTTAAAGAAAAATATTTTTCTACGGCCCATTTTTTTTGCAATCATGAGCTAATTTTTTGTGGTAGAGGAGAGGGAGCAGCAGTAGTGGTGAAGGTGGTGGATAAGAGATGATGGTATTGGTGGTGGTGGTGGTGGTGGTGGCAAAGGAGATTAGCGGTGAAGTTGTGGTAATGGTAGAGTAGATGGAGTGGCAGGGGTGAATGTAAGGTAATGGTAGTAGTAATAGCAGTAGTGGTAGTGGTGGTAGTGGAGTGGTGGCAATGGTAGTAGTAATGGTAGTCGTAAAACTGAAGTGGCGATAGTGGTAGTAATGGTGGTAGTGAAATGGCGTTTGCAGTAGTGGTGAAGGTGGTAGAGAAAATGGGTGGTGAGAGAGAGAGAGAGATGAGTGAGAGACAGATAGAGAAGAGAGAAAGAGAGAGAGAGAGAGAGACAGAGTGATGAGCGAGAGAGAGAAAGAGAGACACAGCGGTCGCTAAAAGTGTATTTTCTTGTAATGGATAGTAAATCGAGAGAGAGCTCAGTAAATAGAGAAGACGGAAGGGAAAAAGTGAGCAACGCGAACATATTAGGGGAGAGAGAGAGAGAGAGAGAGAGAGAGAGAGAGAGAGGGAGAGAGAAAGATAAAGAGATAGAAAGTGAGAGACAGAAAAAGAGACAGAGAGATAAGAGAGATGAACGAGAGAGAGAGAGATAGAGAGAAGAGAGATGAGTGAGAGAGACATAGAGAGAAGAGAAATAAAAATAAATTTATTTTTTGTTAATGAATTTTTTAAAAAAAATTTCATTTTTTTTTTTAGTTACTAAGATTGAAAATTTATTTGTTTCATTTTTATTTTAATGAAAAAAAATTATTATTATTTTTTATTTGGTAGAAGTACGGATAATATTTTAATGAAAAATATTTTCCACTAAAATAAAAGTTAATTTTCTGTGGTCAATGAAAAATATTTTTCTGTGGCCTATTTTTTTTGGTTACTAAAAATCATGAACTAATTTTTTGTGGTAGACGAAAGGAAGCGACAGTAGTGGTGAATGTGGTGAATAAGAGATGATGGTGGTGGTGGTGGTGGTGGTGATGGCGAAAGAGATTAGTGGTGAAGTTGTGGTAGTGGTAGTGTAGATGGAGTGGCAGGAGGTAAAGGAGAGGTAATGGTAGTAGTAGTAGTGGCAGTAGTGGTAGTGGAGTGGTGGTGATGGTAGTATAATATTTTAATGAAAAATATTTTCCACTAAAATAAAAGTTAATTTTTTGTGGTCAATGAAAAATATTTTTCTGTGTCCTATTTTTTTTGGTTACTAAAAATCATGAACTAATTTTTTGTGGTAGACGAAAGGGAGCGACAGTAGTGGTGAATGTGGTGAATAAGAGATGATGGTGGTGGTGGTGGTTGTGGTGATGGTGAAAGAGATTAGTGGTGAAGTTGTGGTAGTGGTAGTGGTAGTGGTAGTGTAGATGGAGTGGCAGGAGGTAAAGGAGAGGTAATGGTAGTAGTAGTGGCAGTAGTGGTAGTGGAGTGGTGGCGATGGTAGTAGTAATGGTAGTCGTAGAGGTGAAGTGGGAATAGTGGAAGTAGTGGTGGTGGTGGAATGACGTTTGCAGTAGTGGTGAAGGTGGTAGAGGAGATGGGTGGTGAGGGAGAGAAATGAGTGAGAGACAGATAAAAGAGAGAGAGTGAGAGAGAGAGAGAGAGAGAGAGAAACAGGGACAGGGTGATGAGCGAGAGAGAGAGATAAAGTGGTCTCTAAAAGTGCATTTTCTTGTAGTGGATCGATAAATCGAGAGAGAGCTCAATAAATAGAGAAGACGGGAGGGAGAGAGTGAGCAACGCAAACACAGTGGGAGAGTGAGAAAGAGAGACAAAAAGATAGAGGGATAGAGAGTGAGAGATAGAAAAGAGACAGAGAGAAAGATAGAGAGAAGAGAGATGAGCGAGAGAGACAGAGAAAGATGAGAGATGAGAGAGATAGAGAGAAGAGAGATGAACGAGAAAGATAAAGAGAAGAGAGATGAGCGAAAGAGACAGAGAGAGAAAAAAGATAAGAGTATAGATAAATGAGTGAAAGATAGAGAGAGAGAGAGAAAGAGAGAGAGAGACAGGTAGATAGACAAATAGAGAGAGAAGAGTGATGAGTGAGAGAGAGAAAGAGAAGAGAGAGAGGAAGATGAAAAAATGGATAAAAAGATATAGACAGAGAGAGATGAGTGAGAAAGCGAGAGAGACAAAGAGAAGATAGAGAGAAGAGAGACAGAGAGAGAAGAGAGATGAGAGGGATGAAGAGAAGAAAGATGGACGAGAGACACAGAGAGAAAGAGAAAGAGAGATAGGCAGACAGACAGAGAAGAGTGATAAGTGAGAGAGAGAAAGAGAAGAGACGAGACAGAGAGAAAGAAAGAGACAGACAAACAAAGAAGAGTGATGAGTGAGAGAGAAGAGAGACAGAGACAGAGACACATAGAGAAAGAGAGAGACAGACAGACAGAGAAATGTTATGAGTGAGAGAGAGAAAGAGAAGAGAGACAGAGACAGAGACAGAGACAGCGACAGAGACAGAGAGATAGAAAGATGAAAAAATGGGTGAAAAGCGAAATGTTCAAAAGAGTAAAACGACGTCGTTTTTATTTTTTTATTTTTTTTTGTAACAGAAAAATACCGTTGCATTTATTTAAACCATTTTATGACTATATATATGAAGCTGTCTCAAAGCCACAATATATGTATATATATATATATATTTTAACTTTTTTTTTTTTGCAACGGTACGTATTACAATTGCATTTTTTTTTGCAACTGCAGTTGGTACCGTCGCAAAAACTATATTTTTTTGCAACAACAATCTCTGCCATCGCAAATACTCTATTTTTTTTTTGCGACAACAATTTCTGCCGTTGCAAGTACTCTATTTTTTGCGACGGTAAGTTGTGCCGTTTCAAAAAGTCACATTTTTTTGCGACGGCAAGTTATGCCGTCTCAAAAAATCACATTTTTTGAGACGACAAGTTGTGCCGTTACAAAAAGTTCCGTCTCATAAGCTCACTTTTCTTATAGTGATAACACTGTTGTTGAGCAATGAAAATATTTTAAAGTAAACGTTTGACTGAGCGTGGGATTTGAGAAGGATGCCATGACAACCACAAAAAAAAGAAAGAAAAAATAGAAAAAGAGAAAAAATGAAACACGCTGTGACGCCACCGTTTTCCTGTTTGGTCCATTTGTACTTAATGGGTTTAGATGGAAAAAAAAAATATTTAATGGAATTCACATTTATTAAAAAAATGGAATGGGTTTTGATTAATTAAAAAAAAGATAAATTATAAATACATATTTTGAGATTTATTTAAAGTACAAATTGTCTCTTTGTTAGTATTTTTATTTAACAAAATTAACTAAAAAAATGAAATTTATAATTGTTTTTCTATACAATAATAAAATTACCTAAATTATTAATTGAAATATATTTCTAATATCATTTAAAACTGTTAATTGATTTGATGATTTATTAATAAAAGGGGCGATTTATTATGAAATTATAAACCTTAGGGGGTGGAATGTAATTTCTAAAATCAAAGGAAATGATTCGTATTTTAATAAAACTCAGGGGATGTATTTGTAATATACCCAAAACAGAAGAGTGAAATTGTATGAAAATTGAGTTCTACAATATTTTTATTTGCCTCAAAATCACTCCTTTGTAAAAATAAATTTTAAAAGCAAAACATAAGCACTTAAAACAAATTTCACTTCAATTATACAACTTGAAGCAATTATATAATACCAAAAAAAAAAAAAAAAACATCAGGTAAATTACAAATACACTTCTTGAGGATTGATAAAATACAAATTACTTCATGATGTTTTGAAAATTACATTCCGTCTCCTGAGATTTCTAATTTTATAACAAATCGCCCATTTTATTAATAAGTCATCAAGTTAATTAACAATTTTTAATGACGTTATAGATATGTTTCAATTAATAATTTAGGTAATTTTGTTATTGTATAGGAGGACAATTATGAATTTCTTTTTTTAATTAATTATGTTAAATAAATTTTTTTAACAAGGAGATATTTGTAATTTTTTAAATTACAGGGGGCAACCTCAGGGGTGTATTTGTAATTTATCAAAAAATATAACATATTTATAATTGTAGCAACCAAATTAAATTAAAAATAAAAAAAAGTTGAAGCCAAACAGTAAATTAACCAAATTATACAAATTCAATGTTGAATATCATACTAAATCTAATTCCTTCCCATATCAAATCATCCAAAATTCAAATTTCATAATTATTAAAATGAGAAAACAATAATATAGTCCCGTCCCAATATTTCTAAAAAGCCAAAAATT